TATATATATAATGTCTCTCTATATAAATAGGTATGAAAAATATGAACATATCTACAAAAACATAACCAGGAAAATGTTTCTACTGCAATACGCTGTAACTATAATAATAATAACATATACTAATTATTGACCTCCCTACTTAAATTCTGTTTTACATACTACTACTACTACTACTGATTATCACACTGATTTTTTTTCTATGACCAGAAACAATTACAGTTTAACAGCAACACCACTACTTCCATGGCCACAGCAGTGTGCCATGGGGGAAAAAAAAAAAAAAAAGCCCAAAGAATTGGATTTCCATTTTCCTTTCTTCCGCTGGCAACAGCTGAGTGTTCCATATCCATATTAAAATCTGACTTAGAGTGATGAATACTTACTAACTGAAGCAGTAATAGCAATATGAACATTTGAGTTTTATGTTGAAACCTGCATTTTCCTGTGAAGTGTTGATAACTTTTAACTGAAATGATACATCACATTTCTACAGCAAATAGTAGCAAGCATATTTTATCTTTCCACACAGTGCTATTACTACATACATCAGTAAAAGTACAAAAAGAGATGCATGGCTTTGAATAGCACATGCATCTCCTGTACTCCCAATGAACATGGCAACCAAGGGCTTAACAAGCAACACAGTAAAAACGGAGCCCTGCGGAGAAACGGAGAAAGTACGGAGAATCTTTCTGCAAAACAGCCTGACTTAGTGGCAGACCCAACTATCCCATTTTACTGTACAGCCAGCTACCAATGCCTGGTTTGATTTCTTCAAAGGTGAGGCACCTGACCTTCAGGCACCTACGTAAAAAATACTGTCTCCGGATGATGTCTATAGTTATTCAAAGTTATAGCAAAACCCTTCCCTGTTCATAATCATAGTGGAGCAGTTACTAATCTCAGCATCTCTAAGCCAATTAAAAAAAACTTAGAAATTACAGAAAGTATGTCTATGCATACATTTCTACTCTCTAATGAAAAAAATAATGGTCTTATGATTTTAAAAATAAAGAGGTATTTATCCAGGTAACACAATGCAATCTACAATTCTTCTTGGAATTCTTAAAATTTAACAGAAAAATAAGGTTAATACTAAAGAAGATATTGTTCCTGAAGAAACAGAAATTTTGTTTAAATAGCTAAAAACAAATTCAGTTAAAACCATTCACTAAAAACTATGACCAGAGCTTGCTACCTAAAAGGTACTAGTTTGTTTGCATTTGTGGTTTTAAAATTGGGTGTGTCTTATTTTGGTGGATTTTTTTTTATCTAGGAACACCACCTTTGAATAATTAGTTATCAAAAATACTTTGAGAGTCATTATTCAATATGCAAGGGGACCAAACAAAATTTAATCGATATAACTTGTGAGAACCTTCCAATATATTATCCATAGTTCACTGACTCTATTTCGATTTGCATCACCTGCTGCACCTTATATAATCAATGACTTTTTTACTATAAATACACAATTATAAATTAAAAAAAAAACCACTTTATCTTGTTTGTGTGACATTTTAAACTTAATTACTTTCTTAAAAAACTGAATAAACGTGACTTATGACATTATCGCAATGCAAACTTCTAAATAAATTAAAAAGAAACCACCAAACTACACAGTATTGTCTCTCAGTCTAGAACACAAAGACACTGGGATGATTAAAAATTGTATGAAGAAGACCATACCAAAAAAGCAGCTAGACTTCTTGGTGGAGAATCCCAGTCAAAACAACTGCTAATATAGCAGACAGCAGTAACGAGCGCCATGATACAATGCTTCATCCGGATGAAGTTCCTTAACAGTAGCTGTTAAAAAGATGAAAGATTGAAAAAATTTCAAAACACCAAAAAGTTTCAGGAGAGGCTCACACTAACAATACTGTCATTCTCAATTTGGGTGAAAGGCTGAGAAAATATTAAGCTCTCTAGCTCACAAATTGAGCAAGTTAGTTTAAAATCTAGGCTGAGAAAATATTAAGCTCTCTAGCTCACAAATTGAGCAAGTTAGTTTAAAATCTGAGACTTGGAAGAGAGAGAATTTGCTAATTCTGTCAACTGGCATTTGTTGAATTTAATTCTAGATGGTAAAAAAATTGTTCATCATTCAAAAGCCACTTGCAAAATTTCACAAATTATTTTGTTAATTAGATTTCAGTTTCATTAAGCCTTCAACAAATGTTGGCCATTTTTAATAAAAAGATGCTGCAGAACACTAACCTGAAACCATTCAAAACTACTGCTCTAATATAATTAAGATATCAGCACCATTTAACATTTTTAACAAATTTGTCTGCTGTGATGTATTTTGAAAGCACTGTTTTAAGTATTTACCAAAGTAATCTACATACTTTCAAATTACATGTATGTAAGACATAACAACTCTAGGTTTTGATTCAGGAAAATGTACTTAAATCCTCTAAAATGGCAACACTTCACCACAAAAAGCGAACAAACCAGTGAATTTGTGTACTGAGACACATAGAAAATGGTCACTCCTCCTGCCATCTGCAAAAGTCACAATGCCATTTTCATTTATGAAAGTAGGAAGAAGAATGAATCCTGAGTAAAAGGCTTTGTTGCTTCTTTACTGGAATGGTAGTGAAAAAATCAGCTTTAGTAACTGCATTACTCAATATTGCAAATGAGGAAATATTTTGCCTCTTGAAATGTTTTGTTTTATGAACTACATCATAAACTGATATAAAATTCATCCAGCAGGTAATTTAAACCATGCTTAAGTATACAAGCTTTCAGAAAAAAAGAAAGCAGTTCTGAGACCTTTGACTTTTCACTGAAAACAACAAAAATCTTGTTCCCATAGTCCAACAAATTCTCTCCATGTAAGATACAACATTTGTGGAACAAGAAAAAATGAGTCCAAAGTAGTTTGAGTGCAGAAAAATATGTGTTTAAATTTTTTTTTACGAAAGCATTAAAATTGTGTGTAGCAAAAATATTCAGAGAAAAAAGAAAGAGTTAAGACATTTCCTATTCCTGGGATTGCAAAGAATTTCAGTCTGGTATCACCATTGATTCAAACCTTATTCAAGTAACTTCCTTGAAATGTGGCTAAAAGAATGATGACTCTTTACCCTGCAACAAATGGAGAACTTTTGGGTCAAAGTTAACAGCAAAAATTTATGCAAGACTTATTTTACACGCACCTGTGCAATAATCTGATATGTGTGAAACCTGATGGTTTCAACTGTGTTCTTATTCATGTATTTCATGGAAATTAGGCAGCAATTTATAGAGGAGACACATTAAACCCATGTATTCTGTTTCTGACTTCTCAATCTATCATATTCTTTTGTAAACACATAATGAAAATGTTATTCTTTACTCTCAGCAGTATGATACCAGATATTTGAATGTGCACACTTGATATTAAGGATTTTAGAAGGGATTAGTGTTTCCTTACTCTTTACCTGTTTAGACAGTCTGTCTTCCTCTTCAATGTACTTCTGTTCTTTGGGCATTAAGGTTCGTATGCTGGCTTTCACCTATGCATTAAAATGCGCGTCAGTATTTCAAGTTTACTTGCTCCTCACTAGTTACAAAAGCTTCAATTCACAAAATTTACCAAGTTTCAAAGTCATGGCTGCCAAGCTCAGGACACATAAGCATACACAGAGACAAGAGTTGCTGCTCTGTACATTAGCAGCAATACCAGCAGCAGCAGCAACAAAAAGAGTGGGTGTGCCAAGCAGTGGCAGAAGAGTATTCTGTAGTATACATCAAGGCTTAGAGAAAATGAGGAATGACAGAAATTCTCTACAAATCAGGAACAAAAGCTTTCATGAAACTGAACTCTTTAGCAGTACAAAAAAACCCAAAGTTAAGACTTACAGCATTAAAAATCACATCTATTTCAAGATAGATGACCCCCTTTGTTGGCCCTGTCAGCTGCTTGTTTTTCAAGACGTAGGCTTTCTGTTCACCATTTTGAATCTGCAGGAAAAGGACATGACAGCCGTCTGTCTTGCGGTCTCCGCTGAATACACCCCCCCGGTGACCCCTGACCCCCAGCTGCTGAAACTGACAGAGAACCCAAAACAACTGTGGCAAGTCTGACAAGTACCTGTTCATTACCAGGACCGAGTCTGTCAGGAAAAATTAACTATCATGGGATTCAACATGGCCGTGAATAGAGTATGTTAAAATTTTAGTGTTCTTATTACAGACCTTGGTTGAGAAATGACAGACTCAGAGCTGCAAATTTTTTTATTTTTTTTCTCTTTCCCTCCTTCAGTGGGAAAAATTCAGAGCAGTATGTCAGGTGAATGAAGCTTACAGACAGCAATGGTATAGCAACTTTGCCTAGAAAGTCAGCACTTCGATCGCGGTCTTCGTCGTAAACTGTCACTTCAAGCACTGAGTGGATGTCCTTTATATTGCTACAAAGAGAGAAGTACACACAGAAGAAATAAGTCACTTACACCAGTGGGTACCAAGGACAAAACTGTAAAAGGTTAACACAGATATCCGTCTATTTTTCCAAGCCATGGAGGAGAACTGAGATTAAGTGAATGAGACATCTCTGCATATGCATTCTAAGGGCTGCAATGATTACTTTGTCTCTCTTTCTCTCTCTCTCTCTCTCTTTGCAAGGCTTTTTAATCAAAATGCTATCTAAGGGCTGCAGTTATCACTCTTTCTCTCTGAAAGCTTTTCCAGACAAGTTTTCTGAAGGATGTTGCTTTAAATCTCCTGCCTGGGGTTTGCACTGCATGACCTGCAAGGAGCAGCACTGGGGGATTTACAGCCACCAGCAGAAAGACAGAGAGCTTTTAAAAGCTACTCCAAAACACCGCTACCCTTGTGGCAATTCTTACTGCAAATACAGGGAAACCTGTAGGTTTGTAAATAGAAAGAATTACAAGTTACAAGAGCTTATCCTTACACTAAGAACAAGTTCCTTGTTTCCGAAATTCTCATTTAATTACAAATATACAACAAATTACAGCACATAAAGAACAAATAATATGGAACAATGCATGTCTCAGGTACAACCGAGGAAAAAAGACTGCAAGCTATTAGACACTCCATTGCCATGCACAGGAAATGTCACTCTACATGTAAACTTTTGGGTGAAAAATTCATATTCCTTATTTGAATAAAAAAATTATTTGAGAGAACTCATATTTGATTGAATGGCTGACTCAGGAAATACAAATTCAAGCAAAGCAGTTCAACTTCAGTAAAATATACTCTTCCAGATGAGGGATTGCTAGCCCAAAACTTAACTAAGAAATCTGAATATAAATGCACATGTACATAGAAGGAAGGCCTTGAAAGCATTTAGACATTTTCTATTCGATTTCTGATTAGTCTTTTGTCCTCTACAAATCTAGGCAATTCTTTGTGCACAGAACACGGTCGAGAAGTAGAGGAAGATTAGTTATTGGCTCTATTGGTAAATAATTAAAAATATATTAATGAACCATTTAGCATGGTTTTGCAGATATAGAAATGAGAACTACTATAATAAGCCATTGAAAAGTACAACTACTGTGAGATTTTTTTTCTTTTGTTCTGAATTCATTTCTGAGAGCTCACTGCAGGTCACAAAAACCTGTGGATGCTAAATATATGAATGATAAATCTAGAGGGGAAAACCAAGATTAAAATCACACTGAGTTTTGACATTAAGGGCAAAATATAGCATGTTCACGTACAATAAAGTGAAGTAAGTGTACACAAAACTAAAGCTGCTACTGTTTTTGCAGAGGATTGTTACTGATTTCAGCAGCAGTGATCAGTTTTTTCTACTCATTGGTGTCACATTACAGTCAGATAGAGAGAAGGCAGAAAAAAAGGGCAATTGAGCAAGGCAAACAACAAGGACATTTTGTCGGTGGAAGACCTTTTTTCTATTTTGTCAAAGCATTTAACATCTTCAAAATAACACAAGGATAGAAGAATCAATCATATCACTCCCCAATCATTTGTTTTAGACTGCATTTTTTGCAATAGCTGGATTGTACTACTATGATACTAGATGATATTGTGAGAAGGGCAGTTAGTAAATGGAAACAAGTAGAAAGTATTAAATCATAATTCAGAGAAATATAAATGCATACAGAATTTCCAACTTTATGTAGCTATCTAATGTTTTTTACAGTTAACAACCACATTTTAATAAAGGTCATACTCACAGTATCTTTTTTTCCACACTCAAAACTTCAGGGGCAAATCCATCACATTGGATTTGACCCTTGAAACTCTTGCTGAACCTAACAAGAGTCTGGTGCGCATAGCATTACTCATACATGCTTTCCCAGAAACAGTCCTGGCATTTTTATGTTTAAAATTATACCACTTCTGTATTTTTTTCATGTTTTAACCCTCAAAACGTATTTGGATATTTAGTTAAGAAATATCAGTATGTCGTCATTATTCTCCTTTAGAACTGCCAGTAAGTATTTTTGTTCCTTCCCTCTCCAACACCCTCACCTCCAAAAAACTACCCAAAACCCACTGTCCATCCATTCCCCCCACCTAAATCCAAACACCTACAATGTGAAGATTTTGTTCCATTCTGGATTGAGGTTCCTGTAGACAGTATGTGTCAGCAGTCTGTCATTGTTCAGTTCAACTACACAAAATGGGTCACTTTTACCTGTAAGAGAAAATTTGGAACTAATTTTATGAACTAAGAAAACACATGATGAGCAAGCTTTAAGTAAAAAAAGTTTGGGGAGTTGTTTCTCATTTTCTGAGCTTTACTGTAATGGTCTGCACTATATTCAAGATATTCATATCACACTCTTCATGCCCATAGTCATTAACAATCTTTGCTAAAAGAACAATTCTTTTGCTTTAAAAAAAAGGGGGGGGAGGAGACTACAAAATCACCATACAGACTCTTCTGATGAAACACAGCATGTTCCTAGAAGTTGCCAAGCACCCTTGTGAGACAGCTAAGAGAACCTTACTTCAATGGTACCAATGATCCATTCACTTTAAAGATAACATAATGCAGGTATTTTGACATGAAGGAAAAGTATTATTCTGTATTATTTGTAACAACATAGCACCTATGAAAATTATCCAAAGACTATTATGCTGTATTATGTTTCACCCTGTACAAATCCTCTCCCCAAAATCAAAGAATCTTGATGACAGCCTCATATAAATGCCTAACAATTGGCAAATACAATTAAAGAATGAGATGGTATGGGCTGGAATGATGGGCTGTAGTCTCAGCACAGCAGAAAGGCAAACATGGTTGATATTTTATTATACATTAAAGCACAAAAAAGTAGTTTTGGATATATTTACAGAGAGGTCCCTCAGCATGAAAGTCACCAAATGAGAAAGTATGAAGTCGCTGCTTTGAAAATGCATTATGTTATAATTGAAGTAGGATAATGGAAATGGATATGGAGGTATATTTTTGTTGCCTTTAAAGAAAAGTAATGGGCAAAGCAAGTGTGTGTGTGTGTGTGTGTGTGTATGTGTGTGTGTGTGTGTGTGTGTAAGTGTATGTGCGTGTGTGTGTCCCTAAATATTAAATAGGCAGCTTACAGGAAAAGACTGTAGGCAAGCAGTGCTTAGATATGGAAAGTGCAAGAAAAATGATCAGAACTGCAAGTTTAGGAGTAGAACATGAAATTGAAGCTAAGCCTTTTAAGGTTTTATTTTGGAAAAGTGTGGTGGTTTAAGCCCACCAGGAAGTTAAGCTGCTTCCTTTTCCCCATCTCCTCTTTCAGGCGAAAGAAACTAAAGGCAGAAACGATGGGTTGAGGTAACAACTTACTGGAAACAACAATGAGATAAGAAAGCAAACAGTAACAGTGTATAAGAGAGTGTGATTACATGCAAAATGCTCCCTGAGTCTGACACACCACCCTCCACACATGGGATCACCCCACCACTCCCTACACCACGCTTTTTCCCACAAGCCTGAGACGATGAAAGTGGCACACAAACTTTCCACACCTGCACTTTTTTTCCCCAAGACCAAGACAGCGAAAAAAACCACAATGTTAGACAAGTCCTCCAGTTGGGATCAGCACCAACCCACCACTCCACTCGCCACACACCTTCCCAGAAAGGGAGAAAATGTCTGCCGAACCTCTGCACTGGCCATTTTCCTCCACCAGAAGCCATGGCCTCTTCATCTTGAAAGAGAGACTCCCTGACTGCCACATACCAGCCATGATTTGAGTGTGTAGAGTAACAGCCTAGACAAGCCCACATGCCTCCAGGCTCTACCCTCACACATCCTTGGCCTAAACTAGGACAAAAGGACAAGAAAAAAAGTAGACACCTGAATCTGATGCTTAAGATCAGCTTGGCTGTCTGAAAAAAGAGTGCTCCAAAGTGGGATGGGAGAAAGCAAAAGGTGGGATTGGTATCTTCAGCTTTCAGGGCAATCCTGAAATTACCTAGAAGGCTAAGCAGGGGTGGAGAGGTAGACCTAAGGAACAGCTATGATGGGAAAAACACAAATGAAAACATATGGGGCATGGTGGGAAGACCTCTTTCAATAAAGAGGCAATAAAGGGAAGAAATCTTTTGGGCTAAATTATTTAACTTGTATTTCAAATTATGTCAGTAATGATAACTGCTATAAATCTGTCCAAAAAGAGATACACTATCCTGATTTTATATTTTTATTTTCTCCAATAACTGGAAGAAGTAACCTTTGCCTTTGGCACAGTACAAGTGTACATATTATTTTCATGTAAATAGAAAGCTGAACAACAAATTGCTGCTTCCTGGACCCAGGGAAACTTTGTCTGATGTAAATGAACACTTGAGTTGCATAATGCCTCATGACCTGCTCTTCTCTTCAGACTTTCTTTGGGCAGTAAACTGTTCAAAATATATTGAATGTTGGCATTGGCATTCCATAATTAAATCTAGCATACTAGGCAACTGTGTTTCTCAGTATCTTCATTAACTCTGTACTATCTTTTCATGCATTATTAGAAACCATAAAGTGAGTAGCTACAGTAGCTACATTAATGATATTAGGGAAGCACATAATCTGTTTCATACCTTATACAAATGACAATGAAATCAATACTTAGACAAAGCTGTCCAGGGACCACAACTCCCAAATGGCAGTATTGATTTTGACTACACCAAGAGCTGATATGCATGTTATGTGCATATTATGAACTTTAATGATAAAGAATAATTGTTTTAAACACATTGTGAATTACAGTTAATTGGTGTTTACCTCCTCTAGGAAATCATATACTGCTGAATGTTTCCCAATATCTTGAAAAATTATACAATTCATTAGTAAGCAGAAGTTGATGTACCACACATCTCAAGGTTCTTCTATTTCACAAGTCTAGAAGGTGATAGGAAATCTAAACCATTTATATTGTTTGTGTTCTTTAGCTTTCAGGATTTGAAAAAGAAACACACAGAAGATAGTTAAAATAACAAGGCAGCACTGGCACAGTAGGTGGACGACTATATCTCATTTTTAAAGTATTATCAATCATATTTGCATATGGTGATACAATGTGAGTTGAGCTTATTAAACTTATACAGACACAGTAAATTACATTGCAGCATATACAGGCCATTTTCTATAAACAAAGAGAGGGTATTTACTACATTTATTTATTTTCTGTGCCTCTTGGCATGCACTTTTTCAATTACTTTACTTACGGATTTCCATGGATATCAATCAGTAATATGTAGCACTAATTACAGAGCTCCTCAGTCAAACCAAAGACAAGTGGTTTTCAGAAATGAAAAAATGCCTCACTTATAGTCAACATTTCACACTTCCTTCCTCCTATCATTTGAAAATACTACAAGAACAAATTTGAATAGAAGCAATATCATCACACGGTTCAAGAGAAGGTTCAAATACCATGGCTGACAAAGAGAAGTTTCCCAGCTTTGAACATCTTTGTTAAGGAATGTTGGTTTTATCATATTTACTAGGTTACAAAGTTCCCACATGCACCTTCACCATTGCCTATGGGCATTTCTTACATGTGCTGAAACACTCATAACCAAGCTGGGACTCTGAAAGGCACCACTCATTGCTGACATGCTCAACATACGGTATGTGCAAACATTGTTAAGATACTGTTAGTGAACGTGATCTAGAAAGACAGACAGAACAATGCATGAAGACTTGGTGAAATTCATATCTATCTGTCATCTTTCAAGTTTTCATTATTAGAAAGAGTAATTGCAATCTTAATTCTCACTGACAACCTTGGCAAACTGCTGCATTTCGAGAGTTTTCAAAATAATGGGATCATTCCCAATGAAAGCCTTAAGAGAGCACTAAAATAGTAAAAAATGTCCTTAGGTCTCCTTGGTCTCTAGGAGGACCCAAAAGTTTCAGCAACACTATATTCAAAACCAGTACCTTAAGCACAACACACTCTAACAAAGGCAGCCTCAGACAATTTCTGTCAGTTAATGTGATTATCTATGTCAAACAAGAGATACAGAAATGGTTTTCCTTATTTTTTTAGAAAAGAGCCACACGTGTTCAGAAGAGTGTGCTCTCCCTCTAGCACTTCTAAAAGTACACATAAAAATCTCTGATAAGGCTTGTGCTGCCTATGCTCAGTTACATCATTCCATATTATATTACCATTAACATAACAGCTTTCACTATAAACTAAACCACAACTGTTGTATATATAACCTGTCAAGAAATTCTACTAAACCCTCTGTATCTACTGAGGATCTTCCAACTAGCAATCCCTGCTCTGTGCTCTTTGTAAGCCTCCCGCTACTATTCCAGTGGCTTTAGAGACATTTAGCAATTGATCAGGCAGACATTCACAGCAAACTTCTCAATACAATCCTAAGCATGTGGTCAGTGCTGTACAAGAATAAGATGACCACCACCTGCCTAGGCACACATTAAAAGCATGCTCCCAGCAGCACCAACGCCAACACCAACAGTGAAAATCTTGAGTATCCCACAACCACAGTGGGGCTAACTGTTATCACGCCTTACCACTGGTTGCAGGAATTCATGGTAGAAGTAGGTAATGAAAAAACAAAGTACACCTTCCAACTTATTGAAAACCTCAATACAAAGTTAAACAAATATAATGCATCCATTCTTTTGCTGTGATGTCTCATGCTTTTTGGTCTCTACTTGTACAGTCCTAAGGGCTCCTGAAATAGGCATAATTTGAAGGAAAAGCAACTTCTCTTTTGACAGATCTCCCTCACCCATTTTCTTCCTTTACCCATTACAGAAGTTGACTATCTGAGAATGAACTCTAGGAGTTCTATTTTGTAATGCATGCCACCACTGAAAAAAACCCTAAAGAGCTACCTATCTTTTGAAGCTTTGAATTCTATCTTTATTTTTATATTTGAAGATTTTGAATTTTAGGACACGAGTTGCATGTAGATTGACAGATATCCTTTTTGTGTTATGCTATGTCTTTAGACAGTGCAAGACCAGAGCACAAACTCAGATTGCCTTACTTAGATCTAAGAAGAGTATTCTACTTCAGTCAGCACTCAGTTCTTCACATTGCACGCCATGCACACATTAATTTAAATTAGCCTTTTACTTGTCACCTTATTTCTCAGAACTACCATATGTCCTGGGATAAACTGTACACCCATAAACTGAAATCAGCCCCAGCTCTCCAAAAGAGGTAGCAA